TGGCGAGCAGAGAGGGGGATTGAGTGATGAAGCCAGGCACTTCTAAGCCAGCACCCGTGTTCATATGCCACCCACAGGAAAGGCGGTATAGTTGAAGCAGAGGGGTGGTCTGTGGGCAGCGAGGAAGGAAATACTGACTGAGAGTGGACAGTGGGACCCTTTCAGGCTGGACTGCCCCTCCATCCCCCGGGAAGTCAAGAGAGTACTGGGAACAGCTGAGTGATAAGCGGACGGAGGCCCTGGTGCTAAGAGCAAAGTGGGGGGTCATGAGGAAAACAGGCTGGGGTGATGGAGAGATCTTTAGTCTAGGCACCCAAAGGGTTGTACCTGCGACTTGCTGTGTGAATTTGGGCAAGTGACTCACCTCTCTGGATGTTTGGATGACTGCTACTGTCTCCTTTCACTTTCTTATTTGAGGACTCTGGGATTTTGGCGGGTGGCAGGTCACTCATACTTTCCTCCTTCTTAGAAAGATGTAAGAAGTATATTTTCCCTCATGAACTACCTGCTTGAATTCGCGATCTAAGGATTCCCAGGCCATGTGGTGGGCAACGGGAGCCTGTGCTCTGCTGGAAGCTGGGCAGAAAGCAGAACAGAAGGTTTTCTGTCCCAGGTCCATCAGCTTAATCAATCACCTGGCCTCTTGTTGCCTTAGAGCCACAAGGAATCCAGGGACCTGCGGTGGGAGAACAGGCACCTGTGAGCCCATGGCAGTCTCCGGGAGGGCCTGGTGCTGGGCACAGCTGTGGCACGTGGTCTGGGTTGGTCAGGGGCCAGTGTGCAGGGGAGCAGAGGCTGGCTGTAGCATGCTGGAGCCAGAGGTCCTCTCTTTCTGGGGAGGATTTTGCCAGAGGAAGAGACAAGCCTTGGCTACTTGGCGTCCCCAAAGTACAAGGGTCTGGGCTGGGTTCTTGAAGTAGAGAAAGAATTGGTAAAAAATGCAGGGCATGGGACTCAGAGAGGAGTCACAAGGCCACTTTCAAGTCACAAGGCCATGGTGAGTCATTTACACTCAGAGCCTTAGGTTCCACCACTGAAAAATGGGAATAATAATGCCCATCTTGAAGGGTTGGGGAGAGAACTGAACGGGAATATAAATGAAGTGTCTTGTATACAGCCTGCCAAAGAGTAGTTAATAAATGGTGGCTGCTATTAGTATGGTTGCCGTTGCTGCTGTTAATAATAATAATAAATAAAGAAGCAGTCTGCACAAGTGGAAGGAGCGGGGGCCTGCGAGCCAGGTTTGACTACCCTATTCCCATCACCTCTTTGGTTCCTTCTCGGTAAGAGGAGGGGGTGGCACTAGCTGATCTCAAGGCCCTTTCCTGCTCTGACAGCCTCCAGGCTATGAATAGATGTGGCTGGGGCCCTGGAGGAGCCTAATGACTCAACAGCTAGAGAGGTTAAGCTTTCCCAAAAAAGAGTTTCCCTTTGCATTTGATGAACTTAGGGCCCGACAAAGGAAGGGTTTCCTGTCTGGGAGACTAGGGACGAGAGAGCTGGAGGAATCCTCGCAGTTAGTGGAGACTGTGACTAACCAGGTGAATGACTAACTCAGACCCTGCTGACCCTCAACCAATCAGGGCTGCCCATGAGCGCCCTGCAAGCCGGCATGATTGAGCACGTCGTGGCCATGCCAATCCTGGCTGGCTTTGGGCTTCACAGCATATGGAGGCAGAGGAAGCAGCCAGGAAACCAGCAGGGGAAGGAACACTGGGCTTAGAGTCAGGAGTCCCTGCTTCTTGCTCTAAGTAACTCCGCTGCTCAGCAGCTGCGTGACTTTGAGGGAGTCCCTTCCCCTTCCTGAGCCTCCATGGCCTTCATCTGTGCAAGGGAGCTAACAGTACCTGCCCTGGCAACTCCCCTGAGCTATGAAGGCTGAGACTCAAGAAATGAGATGAAAGTGCATTGTGATCGCTAAGGCACTGAATGAACAGGAAATTTTGTCATTATTCTATCCCAAAGGGACTCCCAGTCTCTCAGGAGACCCATTTGGGTCCCCAAAGGGGTCAGGTGGACACAGACTACTGCCTTTGGGTTTTGGGTCAAGATCAGTCTAATACAGGGCCCTTTCCAACCATCTGATCACAGCCCAGAGAGCTGTTTCTTAGATCTGAGCCCATACGGACAGCTCCCAGCCAGGTGTCATAGCCAGAGTGAGAGGTGACAAAAAGCCAGTGATGGTTGGGTGGGGCAGAGTGGGCAGTGCCAGTCTAGGGCCCCCACAGAGCTAGGGTGGTTCTTTGATGCTCTCTTTCCTCTTGCCAAGCTCCTTATAAATAAAAAAAATCAGGGTTTCCCTGGTGGCGCAGTGGTTGAGAGTTCGCCTGCCGATGCAGGGGACGCGGGTTCGTGTCCCGGTCCGGGAGGATCCCACATGCCGCGGAGCGGCTGGGCCCGTGAGCCATGGCCGCTGAGCCTGCGCGTCCGGAGCCTGTGCTCCGCAACGGGAGAGGCCACAACAGTGAGAGGCCCGCGTACCACAAAAACAAACAAACAAACAATCATCAGAACCACACTCTGTCCGCCTCTACCCCCAGCTTTTAGCATCTCTCTTGGTGAGGACTACAAACACTTTGGGAAACGGCAGGGGTGGAGGGGAAGGATGATGCCGGCTCACTTCTGCACACCTTAAACCCATCAGTAGCATTCTCGGAGTGCTCCTGTGTATCGCTGGGTACTGTGCCGGCACTGCGAGCACAGAGATGGGGAGCACAGAGATGGGAACCACAGGTCCCTGCCCCCATGGAGGTTAATTACACCCCCTGTGGTTAAAGAGACAAAATACACCCCCTGAAATGTAAACAGCTGTGCAAAACAGCCTACACTGTGTCACTCAGCTGGTCTTGACAGTAAGTCCTGCAGTCATCCAGAGCCAGTGGCCTGGGATGGTCTGGAAGATTTCAAGGAGGAGATGGGATTTGAACCGGACCTGGAAGGTTAGCTTGGACAAGATAAATAGAAGACAGAGAAAAAGGCATGCCAGATAGGCACACTTCATGTGTTCTCAAGGGACAGTTGGGCTGCAGTGGAGAGATCATGTCAGTAAGAAGTGAGAAATTAAGCTGGACATAGAGATTGCAGTCAGGTATGAGGTCCTGAAAATTTGGGATGAGGAGTATGGATTTATGGATTACATGGGCAGCAGGGGGGCATTGAGGGCTTCTGAGAAGGGTATTGGTATGGTCAGAGCTGTGCTTTGGGGAGATTCTTTCTGGCAGCATTATCCTCGGGAGCTTGCCCTAAAGGGGAATGAGGCTGGAGGCAAGGAGGTCAGTTGGGTGGTTACTGTGGAGCTGGGGACCAGGGTACTGAGAAAGATGGGGCACACACCAAGGGTGAGATGTGTGGCGAGAGAGAGAGGGAAGGTCTAAGGACCTGCAGTGCTCCTGAAACCCTGGCAGGTGGCAGGGAGGTGGGAGAGGGGAGGAGACACCGGACAAAACCCAGTCTGGTCCTTCCCAGGAAAGCAGGCTCCTCTTTGGGCAGACCTGAGTCTGACCATCCTGCACTAAACTCACAGCATCAGCAGGACCCAGAGGTACCCCCACTTGGGCCACATCCACTCCTGGGGTCCTTTTCATCATCTTCCAGAAACCACATAGCATAGCTCCCTGCGGTCTCCAGAGAGCAGCAGAATCTCGGGACAATCCTGCAGTGGACAAACGGCAGGGACGGCGTCCAGTACTGCCTTTTACCCCTCTCGGCTCTTGTTGACTCCCAGGAAAACACTGCCATCTTGTCATGGGCTATGCCAAATGGCAATGAGCCCGTGGGAGCTCAGCCAAGGCTAGGAGGAGGACCAGGGAGAGGAGAAGGAATGGGAAAGATGGAGGAAACAGCTCCTGGAGGCATCCTAGTGAGCTCTGGGGGAAGGGGGGCTGGGAGCACATCAGGACCCGGAGGAGCCCTGGAGATCATTTCAGCCAAACCCTCATTGTCTGGAGGTGAACTTGAGACTCGGGCAGGGGAAGGGACTTGCCCAAGGTCATACAATGGGACAAGTAATGGAGCTGGGCTGGAATTATAGTCTTGGAAGTGGGTAAGGTGTTTATTCCTGTTTAAACACCTGAATAGCACATCAAGGGCCTCACTGGAGATTCTTTCTTGTATACCCACTTGCGCGCTTTGTGTGTGTGCCTGTGTATGTCCTGTGTGAGCTTGCTTGTGTACCTGTGTGTGCACCTGTGCCTATACTGTGAGAGAGTCTGGGTGTGTGTGGCCTCCTACACTGAGGTCTGCCCTGGCTGGAAGAAGAGAACTGGGGCCATTCCTGTGAGGTGACTGTTTTCCTGGGACAGCAGTAAAGAAGGCAGACAGGGCTGGATCTGGCTTCCAGCACCAGCTCTGCTGCCCTAAGAAAATTAAAGGCACTGGCTGGCAGAGCCTAAACTCCTGGCGCTGGGCACACACGTGCACGCAGACACGCACACACACACACACACACACACACACACACACACCAAGAAGTACTCATAGCCACAGTTATGGAGTGTTCCAGGCACCCAGAGTGGCCCCGTGTGCCTCAGAGTGCCAAGTACCTGCATCCACACGTCTCCCTGAAGCCCCAGTCGGTGTAGACACGCTGGGGTCCGGGAGCCGATCTGCAAGGACACGGAGGAGTCGAGCGTTCCCCACCACTTACACTCGGCGCCCTGCTCCAGGGCCTGGCGCGGCCACACCCCTCCTCCCCAGCCGCCGCCCGTCGCTCCTGCCCCTCTCACACACTTCAGAGTCCCCTGGGGCCCTCTCGCAGCCTGGCAGGGACAAGTTAGGGCTGGCCCTGCTGGAGAGTCAAGTCCGGAGCCAGGATTCGACGCCGCCCCCGAGCCCTGTCCCTACGGAGCAGACACGTCAGGCTGAACTCGGGTTTCTGGGAGCGCGGGGTTCGGCGCCTAGACCCTCTCCGGGGGAGCCCCCCAGCCCCAGCCGGCTCCGGACTACCCCAGAACCCGGCGCCCAGCCCGCGGGTCCCCGCCCCCCGCCCGGCGAGTAGTTACCGATGGTGGTGATGACGGTGATGGCGAAGTAGAAGGAGCCGGCGAAGCGCCACTGCACGCCGGCCTTGTGCGGCTTGAGGCGCAGCACGACGCGCTCGAGCTCCTCGTAGCCGCCCTGGCTGAGGTTGTAGCGCGCCCGCAGCTCCTGCTGCCGCAGCTCCAGCCGCTGCCGCTCGATCATCTCTGGCTCCGACTCGAGCGCGTCGAAGACCGCGGCGCCCACCAGCAGGTAGGTGAATGTGCACACGATGAGCGCCAGCGTGCGCACGTTCTGCCGCTTCATCGTCCCGCCCGGGCCGCCGCTGGCCCCCCGGCGCCCCCGGCCCGCGCCCCGGCCCCGGCCGCCGCTGCTGCTGCCCCGGAGGCGGCCTGGGGCATGGCTGCGCTCGCTGCTCCCCGCGCCGGGCACCCACTCCGCGCCGGCCCGCCGTCGCCGCCGACGCCGCCGCCGCCGCCGCCGCCGCCGCCGCCGCCGCCGCCGCCGCCGCCGCCGCCGCCGCCGCCGCCGCCGCCGCCGCCGCCGCCGCCGCCGCGGAGCTGTCCTTTCAGCACCACCCACCGCCCTCCTCCGCCCGGCCCCGCTCCCGCCCCCCGCCCCCCGCCCGCAGGCCGCCTCCTCCCGCCAGCCCTCCCGCCCAGCCAAATAAGGACTGGGGAGACGCGCCGAGGGAGGGAGGAGGGGGGGCTGCCGGAGGGGGAGGGGAGGGGGAGCGACGGGAGAGCAGCGGAGAGACCGGGCAGGACAGAGAGCGAGAGAGAGGGAGAGACCCAGAGAAAGATAAGTAGGCAGAGAAACGCATATAACTACAGAGGAAGAGAGAGAGAAGAGTCAGAAGGGGGTGTGACAGACAAGGAGATAAAACCAGAGGTAGACTCATAGACACAGAAAAAAGAAGAGGCAGGCAGAAAAATACAGAGCGAGAGAGGCACAGAGCGAAAGATGGAAACAGAAAGAGCCGCAGGCGAGAGACAGAGAGACCTGGATAGCTGAAGATAAACCGACGACACAGAAAAAGAAAAGCAAGGAAGGGGAAAGGAACTGGGTCAATCAAGCCTCTAGGCCACCCCACCTTCATCCCTCCACCAACAAGCTATAGCTGGACGGGACCTCGGGCCTTGCTGTCCTGCCCTTTACTAGGTAGATGAGGAACCTGAGGCACAGAGAGGTCCAGTGCCGTGCAAGGGCACACAGTGAGTTAGTGTCAGCACTTGGACTCAGCCAAGCTTGCCCTCCTCCCAGGCCCTAGTCCCTCCCCTGTGCCAGTCTTCTGGCTGTCTCAGAAATAGGAGGGCACAGCTGTGGACCGGGCACTCATGGGCAAACACCCAAGGAAAAGCCCTGCTCTCGTGAAATGTGTCCCTTCCTAGGTCAGCACAGCTCCTGGAACTGGCTGAGGAAGCACAGGCTGGTAGCCTAGGCCACTAGCACCCAGTCCTAGGGTCTCCTGCTCTGCTCCCCAGGGGCCTCCGAGGACAGGCCTGACACCTATGGCCCCTGTCCTGCACCAGCTGGCTAGGCTGGGCTTGTGCCGGGCTGCCAGGGATAGTACTGGACACCACCACGGGGCATCGCAACAGAACTGGGATCTAACTGAAATAGGGTATGGGGGGGAGGGGCCCAGATCAGGAGCCTCGCTGACAAATTGGAGAAGCCAGCAGACCTCCTCCTACCCCTCAGTTTCTTCATTTGTCAACATGGTGCAGCGGTGGTGAGGATGGCAGGCTGTGGGACTTCAGGCGAGGCGTCATTGCCGCATCGGAGTCTTGCTTCCTTATCTCCTCAATGAGGTGCCACGGCAGATGATCCCACAGGCCCAGCTTAGCTCCAAACAGCTCCAGACTTGGATGGGCTGAGTGAGCAGAATGACTGGAATGCAAATCCCACTGCCAAGGAGGGTCAAAAAGTCTTTCACAGGACCCTGGCGTGGGCCATGAGAGACATGCAAGAGGCCCCAAGACCTCTGAGGGTGGGCTCAGGAGGCAGCCAGCCAGAAGCGGGAGCACCATCTGTCCTCATCCTGGGCTGACCTGTTACTGCCAGTCACTACCCTGCTTCTCCCAGGAGTGCCCCCAACTCATCCCCTTCTTCCACCATTCATGCAACAAGTATGTATCAAACATCTGCCTTGTATCAGGCGAGGCACGTTACATTCATTATCTCTAGTCTTTACCATGATCCTGAAAGGAAGGGATGGTTATGTCCATTTTATAGATGTAGAAACTGAGGCTAAAGGCAATGCAGAGAATCCCCCAAGGGCATTCTGCTGGGAAGAGACTTCCATCTGCCTTCCGAGCCCTTCCTCTTCTCCATAATGACTCCTCGAGCCTTCATTTATTTTCACTGTAAATGGGATAGCTAATCACACTAGCTCTTGAACAGATTGTTGTAAGGGATCAAAGGGGATGACCTACATGTAAGTCAGACAATATGAGGTTCTATAACAACTTCCTCTCCCCTAAGACTCAGGTCTTTGACCAGAGCCTGCCAGGAAGGCCTTGATTGGTGGCATTTTGTCCCCTCCCCCTCCCCCTCCCCTCTTTGGGTTGTGTCAGACTCTTTGATCTGCCACAAACTTTTGGTCCTGCCCCTTTGGCCATGAACTCAGCCTGTTGCAGGCTTTCCCTCTTGGCATCCTGCAGCTCTTTGGAAGAAAAGCACTGCCTTTCCTGGCTTCCCAGGGGTGCAGGCTCAAGTTAGATTCTGTGTTCCTGGCCACAATCACCCCAGAAGCCAGTTCCCCCGAAGCCAGTCTAGGGGAGCAAGTGGCTCACTAGTCTGGTTTTCAGTGTGAAAGGCTATGTATGTGTCCAAGGTCTGTTCACCTCTGGCTACCAGACCAGACTGCTGTGCAGATGAAAGGTGATATTATGAGTGAAAGAGCTTTGGAAAAGGGAAAAAGCTCTCTTTAGGGGCAGGGCATGCATTATTAATAACGACAATGCTTGTTCTCACAGCACTTCAGAACTGAAAGGACCTTTAGAGATCATCTAGCCCAACCTTCTCACATTACAGATGAGGAAACTGAGGCCCAAAAGAGTAAGAAGGGTGTTGCCCAAGGTCACAAAGCCAAGTGGGAAGTTCAGGACTCACGTGCCATGGCTGGGGTCCTTCCTATTATCTCTCATTATGTCTGAGGTCAGGACACCCACCAGCAGGGGAGCACAGTGCCCTTGGAGCCCAGGACGGCAGCCTGGGTCTCTTCCTCCTGCCGCTCCTCCTTCCCTTCTTTTAAGGAGGGGGGACCAGTGGGTGTAATTGCATGGGTGCCAGTCAAGTTTTCTGAGTAACCCCCAGGACCTATAGGCAGGAATCGCATTGGCCAGCCCTCGACCTGGGTGGGATGGTGCCATAAGGCCTGGAAGCTTATCCTGCTCCCTTCTGTCCAGGACTTCCAGGACCTGCCTGTACCTCACCGCCCCCCACCGCCCCCCCTTGGGGATGCCCCACCCTCTGCCCAAGGCCAAGTGCCAGAAAGCACCTCTGTCAATCCTGTCCGCTATAAACGATAAAAACTGCTCAGCTGTGGCTTCTCCAAATTCTTGTATTTTTTTTAATCCATTGGTGACTCCAGGGGAGGAAGCTTTGGGCCAGTAAGAGAGAGATTTTTTTACATCCTTCAAATCATTATACTGGTCAGCCTCCTGTGCGAGGATTTTCTGAAATCCTGTCCGGTACAGAGAACACAGGGTGGAGAGTTGGGAGGCCTGGGCTGGGGTCCTGGCTCTGCCACCTGCTTGCTGTGGGCCAGTCACTCCTCCCGGGGCCTCAGTTTGCACAGCCATAAATGGAGGGGTTTGGATCAGGGCATGTCTGTTCCCTTCATTTATAACATCCCATGACCTTCCCGGCCTGCTTCTGCTTCCCTAGTTCTTCCAAGAATCAGGTGAAAAGAGAGTATAGTCACTGCTTTTAAGACTTTAGTTTGTGAGGAAAAGGACACAGTCTGAGTTAGGATAAATGGTACAGAATTTAATTATCATTAGTTGCTGCATATTATTATGTACGAAGCATCATACACATATGATTTTACAGGTTTTTTAAATTGGAGTATAGTTGATTTACAATGTTGTATTAGTTTCAGGTGTACAGCAAAGTGAATCAGTTATACATATAATATATCCAGGTCTGTTCCCTTCATTTATAACATCCCATGACCTTCCCGGCCTGCTTCTGCTTCCCTAGTTCTTCCAAGAATCAGGTGAAAAGAGAGTATAGTCACTGCTTTTAAGACTTTAGTTTGTGAGGAAAAGGACACAGTCTGAGTTAGGATAAATGGTACAGAATTTAATTATCATTAGTTGCTGCATATTATTATGTACGAAGCATCATACACATATGATTTTACAGGTTTTTTAAATTGGAGTATAGTTGATTTACAATGTTGTATTAGTTTCAGGTGTACAGCAAAGTGAATCAGTTATACATATACATATATCCAGTCTTTTTTACATTTTTTTCCCCCATATAGGCCATTACGGAGTATTGAGTAGAGTTCCCTGTGCTTATTTTCCACTTTTATATTCCACTCCATTCCTCTCTAAGCTCTAGACACATCCAAGTACTTTGTGCTTCACTCCTGGCTCACGTGACTCCCATCAGCTGGGATGCTGATACCTCCTCAACCTCTCCATTTTCTATCTATCAAACTCCTATTCAGGCTTCAAGACCCAACTCAAAGGCCACACCCTCAATGAAGCATTCGCCAGTTGCCTCCAATCAGAATCACTGGCTCCTTTGGGCTTCCACAGCACCCTGTCCAAGCTTCAACTCAGTAGACACTCCCCCTGCCTCGTTGACTCTTTAATATTTGTCTTCCTCCCCGGCTCATTATCTTCTCCAGGCAGAGACCCTTCTTACTCATGGTACACCTCCTGCAGTGGGAGCACCGTGCTTTGCACATCAGAGTCGCCCCACATATTTCCTTGGGTACAGTACACAGTGAACACCTTAAAGCATCCTCACCTGCCGGGATAGAGACCAGCAGTGTCAGTGAGGCCAGGGACCCAGACAGCAGAGCATGTGGGCAGAAAAACCCGGGCAATCTTTTTCTGTGACACTTTGCAGATATTTCAAAGGCTGGAGCAAGCCCTGCCTCGTTTAGAGGAAGAGGATAAAGATAAATTTGAGAGTCTGAAGGCCTGAGAAAGTCAGTGGGGAGAGCACTGAAATGGGAGTCCAGGTCCAGGAGCTTTGGTCTCGGTGCTGCTGCCAACTACCAACTAGCTGGTGGACTCGAGGAGTCACTTTGTCTTTCTGTGCCTCGGTTTCCTTTTCTATAGGATGAAGGGGTGGATTATCTTGAAAAGTCTCTTCTCACTCTGACATTCCGTGATGTTAATGACAGGCCTGGCCCTGTGATTAGCAATACTCAATCTACAACAGCCAAGAATGTGGTCGGACAGATGAGGGGCACAGAGGCCTCTCTGTCCCTCACTTT